GACCAAAAAAAAGTGTACAATTGAAATAATAATTCAAGAACAAAGTTTAAAATAGTTACTATTCCTTAACTTCATATTATAATCTGGAATTTAGTCTCAATATCTTAAGCCAATGAGAAACATAAGAAAACATTCAAAAGGAAAGGGAAATTCAGACTCTTCGCCAAGTTATGCAGTCAGCACTAAATCTGAGGGTTCTGAATCTGTGAATTCAGCAACCACAGGTTCAACCAACTACAGATCCAAAACATTTTATAAAAACATGTCTCTAGCAGGGTGTACTGGCATGTGCCTTTACTTGAAGTGGCAGGCAAATCTCTGTGAGTTAGAGGCCAGCCTGGTCTACATAGTAAGTTCTAGGCCAGCTAGGGCAACAAGGAGACTCTGTCTCAAAACAAATGTGTCTCTACTGAATTGCACAACTTTTGTTTCTTCTCATTAGTTCCTAAAATAGGTATAAGATTTATGTAGTGTTTGTGTTGTAATAAGTATTACAAGTAATCTATAGATGGATTAAAGTATACAAGACAGCTGAGCATACTTGGATTTTTGGTAGCTATGGGAACCAATGCCCCAAAATACTAAAGGACAATCATATTCACAACCAAATCAAAGATAAGTGAGGACAGTGTTTCTCTCCAAGCTGTCAGTACTAAGTGCATTTCTTCAGTCATATCCATGCATTCGTTCACTTATCACTGAGCTATGCTTGTGTAAAAGAATGTTGAAAGAGACCCCTGAGGAGTTTATAAGTTAGGATTTAGAGAAAATATCTACAGTGTTAGCTCAATGTAATTCCTCTAGGAAAGATATAAAGCATTATGGGAATTAACAGTGGGGTGAGAAATCAAGGTCAGCTTCATGAGCTGAACCTTTAAGAATGATAGCATTTCCCTGTGCAGAGGTATATGAAAGTAGAATGAATTTGTCCTACAAAAAAAGTAGTTGCAAAGAATTTGAATACTACAGTTTGACTGGAAAGGGGGGTTTGGGGAGGAGCTAAAGGCAGCCTGAGCGTTGGCAATCTTGAATATCAAGCTAAGGAGAATGAAATAAAGTCCAAAGGCAATAAGAAGCTTCAAAATGCTATGTGGCCTTTGAGATTTGTACTCCTTTTTCATTCTGTTACTATAAAGTAGTTATAAATAACTGGTGTATCAATAGAAAATATAGAAAAGGGAGTTTAATATTACACATAGAATGACACCTTTGAAATTTTTTCATTGTATACATTCATTGTACATTGTACTGTGTTCCATAAAGGCATTTTGTTTCATAAAGGCATTTTCACACAAGTATATATTGTACATTTAGTATATCTCCCCATATTGTCATTATTCCCTTTTTCCCCCCAGTTTTGTTTCTACTTTAATTTCATATAGACACATATGATTTTATGTGTTTATATCAAGTGTAGGACCCACTCATGACAGAAAACATGCAATATTTGTCTTTCTGAGGTTGACTTAATTGGTTTAATATGGTTATTTCCAGTTGTGTTCATGTTCAAGGAAACAACATAAGTTTGTTCTTCTTTATGGCTGAAGAAATTACATTTTGTGTGTGTGTGTGTGTGTGTGTGTGTGTGTGTGTGTCCCATCTTCTTTATATGTTCCTTTGCTGTTGGCCTTTTAAAAAAACAAAGTTTAAAATAAATAAAACTAATGTTGCTTATGTATAAGTTGCTTTAAAAAGTCAATGGATTTGATACTGGGTGCTTATGGCAAGTAGCAGAAAGGGGGTGAGGTGAGGAAACATAGGGAGGGATCATGTAAATGACTACTCTCACTCTTACAGCTGGTGTTTGTTCACAGGTGTTTGTCTATAGGTGTTTATTATACTACTAAGTAAATAAAATGTTTAATTTACTAATGATGACAATGTGCCATAAGCCAGGGAGTATGACTTATCTACGTTTATGTATTTGAGATACAAAGGGGGTCTATAAAATATTTTTGAGGTCTCTCTCACTTAGCTTAATACATAACAAATGCTTAATTTTCCTTCCACTTCACTTTTGGAAAGCATGTAGAAATGTAAGTTATAAGATAAAAGGGTGAGGGATGGTTCAGCGGTTAAGAGCACTGGCTGCTCTTGTAGAGGACCCGAGTTTGATTCTTAGCACCCATATGGCAACTGATAACCATCCTAACTTCAGTTCCAGAGGATCCAACACCCTCTTCTGAACTCCTCCAGCATTTTACAACATAGGTGCACTTACATACATGCAGGAAACACACTCATACACATAAAATAAAAAATAGTAAATAGAACTTTTTAAAAAAAGACACAAGGGTGAAAAACCTATTACAAACTTATTTCTAGATTGGAATCATTCATTTTTCTGTTGTTTGGGTTTTGTAGTTTGTTTTCTTTCTTGGTAGGAGGAGCTGAGACAAGCGCTCATGTAACCCAGGCTGGCCTGGATTGTAAGTGAGGCTTTCTCATCGCTCAAGTTTTTTAGCAATACAAATGCAAATCCTCCACATAGGCTAAATGGTTCAGAACCTCTGGAGTGTGTGTGAGTGTGTGTGTGTGTGTGTGTGTGTGTGTGTGTGTGTATAAACCCTGGAGGCTAGGAAAGACTCTACCCTACAAATTTCTGAGCCTCTAGTGTTTGCTGACAATCCTTGGCATTCTTTGGCTTATGGATGCATCACTGCAGTCTCTGCTGCCATCTTCTCCTTGTGTGTCTGTCTTCACTTCTTATAAGGACATCAGTCATTGGATTAGGGCCAACCTAATGAGCTCATTTTAATATTATTGCATCTGCAAAGGCCTTATTACCACATAAGGTCACAGTCATAGGTACTAGAGGTACGAACATCATTATACGTTCTTGAGTGTCACGATTCAAATGTTTACATTATTTAAATTACATATTTTTAAAGAAGACCTTCAAATGATCAATAAAATAGATCATCTATCTAGAAAAAAATCAATATTCTCAGTTTGGTGTTCAGCGAATCACTTATGTTTAGAATGTGTATTTGTAGACCTTGACTCCAGATAATAGAAAATCAAGAAACATATACCTTTAAGTACAACAAAAATGTATCTGAGACCATTGTTTCAAAGATAACAGAAACCAACCCTCTATCTTTTCTCATTTCTTATAATCAAGGTAGCTGTGTGGGGGAAGTAAGGAAAATAAGTAGGCAGACTAAGATACATGTAGATTATGGGAAAGATAGTAATGTAGACTGGGGAAAATAAACTCATACTGAAATGCTCCCATTCTAAGGCCAAAACTCAAGATGACAGGAGGAGTCATCTGACTGTTGGAAGCATTTCTATTAAAACTCCTTGTGTCTGTAAACATGAGACAGAACTAGACTACATTGCCTACAACCTGCTACTACTGCCCATAAAATTATTGTTCACTTTAGTCACTTATATTCAATGTTGATGTTTGAAATGGCAAGCATTCTGGGAAACTTCAATGACAGTTGGCCCTCCCTACTTAAATAGAGGAAAATTTTTTGTCAATAATGGCAAAGTTCTGCCCTACCTCATAATGAAGGATACAGTTAGTTATTCAGGACAGACATACCTTTCAAATCCTTTTGGTCTACAAATATTGAATCAAATATACATCCTTACCCCACAAACCCAATAGAGAAAGAACAAAAACAAAATTAGAATAACTGTAATTCCTGAACATTCTATGATTTGTTAAAGTGACAATTGGTTCTGGGCCCTGGAAACTGAAAACCAAATCTTGAAATTCAGGTCTTTGTTTCAATGGCCTGATTTCCTTGTTAGGCTAGATCAGTGGTTCTCAGTCCTGGTTGCAATGTAGAGAGTTACTTGAGGAGTTTTTAAAACTTACCACTGCTTGAACCTCATCCCAGATCAATAAAGTCTGAATCTATAATGTGGTACCCATGTCCCTACCTTGAAATTATTATTAAAAAATCTAGATTGGGGCTCAGGTTCTGTATATTAATAAGTACCCCAGGAAAATCTTGTGATCAGTTAGCATGGGAAATACTACACTAATGTAGCCTAGTTATTAGCTTCTGTTTAGTGAATGGAATTGTTCTTTAATCTTTTAGTGGCCATTTCCTGCATAGGAAAGAAAACATTTAAAATTATGGAAAGCCATGCTTTTATTTTCGAGCTATTGATGTTGCATCAAACTATTTTGTAATACATCTGTCCATATCTATTTCAGAATAATTTTCCACCTGTTTTCTTAGATACCTTAAACTGTCCATCTCTTTTTTATTTTCAGGAAAATAAATCTGTTGAAGGATATTTACAGTCAAATTTTCTGAACTTTGACCTACTGCTGTCAGCATCTCTGAGATTGCCTCCATCTGAGAGTCACCAGGTCTGACAACACTTTCCCACCATCCTATAGTGAGGGATGTCAACAAAACTGTAGGGAATTCATGTCCTGCAGTCTTATTTCCCTCAAGCTGGGTAGCTGCTGGGCAAGAACATTACAATCTCCATTCTTAGGGAAGATAAAGAAAGACACATTAGAGGGGTGAACACTCAGATATGCTGAGCCAGGCATGTAAGAAAGCCTTTAGAAAATCTTTCAGAAGAACTCAATTAAATCTGCATCATTAGTCTGCACATCTAGATGAGCTGTGGGTAAAAGGGAGCCTTTTCTCTTTCTACTAAAAACAGAGAAGTTTGATATAATGCTTTAAGGATTGTTGTCCCCACACCAGTATTATACAGCAGTCTCACCATATTCATTTAACCAGTATAAGATTGTGTGAAAACTGAAGCTTATTTATTTATTTATTTATTTATTTATTTAATAGGCTAACCTATTGGGGGGGTGCTTGCTGTGCTGGAGGACAGGTAGGCACAACAACGGGCAAATTAGAGGATCACTGTCTTCTTGCTTGTGTGCTACTGATTTTGTTCTATATCAGATTGTGTGGACACCCCTCATATATTCAGACAGGATAAGCGACTGTGTAATGCCTCAAGGGCAATAGAAGTCAAATAGAAATAAATATCAACTGAAGTCTCGAGTGATGACAGAGGTGCATTTTAAGTACCATGGAAATCTCACTGGGAGGGCCCATTTTCCCACTCTGGCAACAGAGGTTGATACCACGTCAGACAAGTATTCCAACCTGTACATGTATGTGGGTTTATTCCTGAGCCTCTTGGCCATTCTCCTCATCCTGCTCTTCACAATGCTCCTTCGGCTCAAACACGTCATCTCGCCCATCTCCGAGAGCACAGAAAGTGTTCCTCAGTTCACAGACGTAGAGATGCAGAGCCGAATTCCCACTCCTTAAAGTCAGCATGCTGACAAGACTCAGTGGATCTCTGCAAACCCTGGTATGATGATGTCCAGGAAGGCTTACTTTCTCACATGAAGCTTCCTATGTAACAAGCTGTTCATGTTTTCTTTGCATTATTCCTCATCTTGACTGTGCTTGTGGGACATCTAAGAGGCTTAAGAGTCATTCTTTTAAAGGAATACAGAAAACAGGTGGGCAGGCAGGTTTCCATAGTAACCAGAGTGCTTGGGCTTTGAACAAACCTCAGACCACAGAAATTCAGATGCAGCTGTTGCTAAAATACAAGATTCCTGGAAGCTCCAAGAGGAGCAAGAATTTACCTTTGCATGTTATGAGGATCCTCAAGAAAAATGACAGGTTTTAATTTATTACTTTGGCCCTAAAGAATCACTTTGGACATAACACAAATGTCTGCTGACATGAAGCTAAATCATGTCACAAGCAAATGATAGTGATCGTTACCCTTTTCCCAAAAGATCAATGCTGTGAACATCTTGTTTTTCCTAAAGGAAAGAAGAGACTTAAAGAAACTGTTTCTATTTAAGAGAAATTTTGTGGAAATGAAGTTTCTGGTGAATAAACTCATGAGGAAAATGTGCATATTATATCTGTGCTATTACTATTACAGGACGTTTAAAAACTCAGATAATAGCACATGTATTACTAAAATCTGGAATGATGAGCTGCCTCCAAATCAAGGGAAAATTAAGTCAAAATGTTCTAATGGTAAAGGATTTCTACACTATACATTCAGCTTTTTTGCCTTTTTCTCCCTCCCCATCACGATCCAGAATTGAGTTCCATGCAAATATGAATTTTATTTAAAGATGGACTTGGCAAAGAAGACTCAAGTGTATTTCAAAACAGAAATGAAATGGTCTTGGTATTCTGTCTCTGAATAATTGTGGTTTTGACCAAAATATGCCAGCTTTCTGGGGCCCAGGATTTTCTTACTGAAAAAAGGTTCCAAGAGCTAATTTGTCATCACTCTTTAGATATGAGTACAAGATAAAAGGAGACAAAGAGGGAAAGGACTAAATAGCACCCTCCAACAAGTCCTTAATGAGATCAATGTCCTTACATGTCACATTTGTCTTTCCCAGAAAATGCTCCTCCCTTCCTGATCCCTGCCAAAAACTGAAGTGTTTCATTTATTATCTGTAAAAGAAATATATTTTGAAAAATCCTTTCTCATAAGTAACTCTAGAAAGCTAGTAATGGGGAATTTAATTTTTTTTTTAAATTGACTTTCCAAAGGGAAACCAAAGGAGATGAGGACCATTTACAAATTAGACGTTACAGTGCTGGTCATATTCTGGCCACCAAAAAAACTAGTTTACCTGTGTTAAATGTCATCTGCTTAGGTTGGAGAGATGGCTCAGTGGTTAAGAGCAGTGACTGCTCTTGCAGAGGAGCCGGGTTCAATTCCCAGCCACCTACTTGGCCGCTACAAACCATCCTTAACTCCAGTTCCAGGGGAATCTGAAGCTCTTTTCTGACCTCTGCAGCATTGCACGACATGGGTGCACTCACATACATGCAGGCAATATACTCATACACATAAAATGAAAATAATAAAAATATTTTTTAAAAAATGTTATCTGCTCAAAAAAATATCAGTTGTCCCTTGCAGTTAAAAGGTGGTCATCCAATTTCACGGGATTCCCCTTCGGAACTGCAGTGGTGGTAAGACAGAACTGGAATGGATATGAAGCTCATGACACCTGCACCAAGAGTGTAGTGCTCGCTCTTGCAGTCTGTAACTAATTTCGACAGGCCCCTTTACTTCGGTCTAAATCTAGCGTGGTGGTGAAATTCCCAAGTGCTTTCTACTTTTATACACAGTCATTTACCAATGACTCTCCAAGGAGCAGCAAAGTGTGAAATCCCCACATGCAGAGCTAAACACAGCAGCCAGCCTGACTGCCACACCTGTTACAATGGTGCACTGTTCAGAGATGGCAGCTGCATTTTGCACCATTCAGAACAAATTAGTAGGTGGGCTAAGATTTGGATCGGGTATGGAGTTCCCTTGGGGCCTTATATCTTCCAAAATGCAAAGTGAGTCTTACACGATTACTTCTGGGGGTTAAATTATATCTATATTCAATCCCAGACTCCACAGACTTTTAAAATGTTTCACGCTTAACAAGCATACATGAGCTTCATCAAAAACTGGCAATACACCCAGAACTTAAGGACACAGGTGTTGCTTTACTCGAGGTTCTCCTTTTCCTGCCCACAGTATTTGAATGCACTTTACAGTAGAGAAGTCAGTGGCTGGATAAATGTCGGAGCTGGTTACACTTTCAACAGGAATGAACAGCAAGCTCTCCAGTGCCCTGTTGCTGAATCTGATGAAGAGACAGCCTGTACATCAATTTCCTACCCACCTAACCACCGAATCCAAATTTAAGGATATTAAAAATTATTTGGAAGCACTTACTTGGGTGATGATTCTTAATTTATGATCAGGTTACTCACCAGGAAAACAACCACCCTCTTTCATCATAAGGACCCCCATGGGATCCAAATCTTAACTGAGCATAAACCAAGGCACACGGCACAGATTACACCAAAATAGTAACATAATCCACCACAGTTTCCAATGATATAACAAAAATGGAAATGCATTTAAGAAGATGTGTCATTATGGTATCTCACATGGTATTTAATCTTTAGGAAAATAAACAGAATGTTTTTGTGTTGGCAAACTTAGTGTAAAGAAAAGAAATTTTCCATTTCTATTCAAGTATATTATATCCTCAAATGTATTAACATATTACTGCTTAAAGAGTCAGCTAGAATAACCAGTGGACACAATTTGAGTTTATCTTTTTGTCCAAAATATAGATTTGACAATTCCCTGCCACACCTTGTTCTCCCTCAAATTGCAAATTACCTGGTATATGAACAGGTAGGTTATTTACATGTATATATGCTCTATTTTAAGGGAAAAAAGAGTCTTCACTGTTTATTGAACCATATGTAAATCAAAAACTCAAATATCAACAATTTCCTGCAATTTAACAAATTTACAAAGACCACATGAATTCTCCAAATAGTAAACAACGTTAATATGCACATTACTGAAAATGTACATTGCATATATTTCAGAATCATATAACAAGGTATATATTGCAAAGGCTTGTGTGTTATATATTGGTCAATAAATATTAATGTTAAACAAGTAAAGATGAATTTATCCAGCCTAACCTCTCCATTCATGACAAATTTGAAACTTTGGACTTAAATAACTGAATTTGAACTCTGAAGATCCCACCATTCTTACTAAGTATGTATAAGGGGGACCATTTATTACATTTAAGTATTCATATTAAGTAATACATTTTATTTATTGTATCTATATAAAACAAAATATTTTACAAAATTTTATGGAAAATTGGAGTTTCTTTTGTTTGAACTCATTTATATTTGAATTCGATTCATATTGTATAAAAACAGAAGCATAAAATTTGTATTAATATTTTTTCATGTCAATTTGATCCCTGGACAATAAATGCTGGCTCTTTTGTTTGCTGATAACAAATGTCTATTGCCTGGAGATGTAAACTGCACTGCATTATTCTCTTCATCGCAATATAAATTATAATAACTCTAATGAATTTGTGGAACTTATCATTTGGAGCTCTCATTATTATTCCTGATTCTCTTGCTTCTCAACTTTCATTCTCTCTCCACTTGTAAACTGATGGGTACATTTATTTTTTTTATTTAGCAGTAACATGAAAAAACTGAATGGCTGCATTTATCAGTGAGGGTGACTGTGAGGGATGAGTGACTCAATCGGGTATTTGAAGTCACGGTAGTCTCTACCAACCCCCCAATAGGATATAGGATATGGTGTGGGGGGGTAAAGTTTTATTTATTTTTATTTCATGTGTATGAATGTTTTGACCGTGTGTATATAAATGCACTACATGTGTGTCTGGTGCCTGCAGAAGCCAAAAGATAGCGCTGGATCCCCTGGAGCTAGAGTTAAAGATAAATGTTAGTTACCATGTGGCTGCTGGGAACAGAATCTGGGTCCTCTGGAGGAGCAGTAAATGCTCTTCACCTCTGAGGCATCTCTCCAGCCCTTAGGATATGTTTTACATGGAGCTTCTATTTTGTGCTTTTTTGTTTGGCCTCCACAGTAACCCTGTGAATAATGAGTAGAGAGAGGATGGAGTCTATGTGACAAGACAGAGTAGGAGACCAGAGAGATTTGTAAGACATTCATGGTTACTCAGAGACAGATTCAAGGCTGCACTGCAATTCTTGGTACTCCTAGCTGAGGATTCTCCCCATGCTTTCCTTTATGGGCACTAAATAGATGTTTCAAAGCTATCCATTCAATTACACAAGTAAAAATAGAAAAACTGAGCCCTACAGGTGATTAATTCTCCGTGTCCAACAATTCAAAACAAATAAGCAAAATCATACCATCTTTTTGTTTATTTTTGAGACAGGGTCTTATGTATCACAGACTAACTTATTATGTAGCAAAAGACAACCTTGAACATTTGATCAACCCGAGGTCAGCACTATGCCTGGTTTATACAGTGCTGGGTATCAAACTTGGGGCTTCATGCATGCTAAGCCAGCATTCTACAAACTAAGCTACATCCGTAGCCCCTGCTGTCTCTTAAAATAATTTTACACTTTCAGTGAGATTCCTTAATAGACTGTGGGAAAGTTACACAAAGCCAGATCCCACCTCTTTAATTTATATGGGTGAAAGGAATGGACAAAATAGGAATAGATTATCAACCACAGTGAAAATTCCAGTTCTCTGAAGTTTGAGTCAATATTCACAACCAATGTCAGTACTTCATATGTGTGACTGCTTTCTCTTCCCTTCCCTATTCCAGAAATGACAAAAAAAAATCCTCTTAGGTGAACATAGTATTAATTAATTAATTAATTAATTAACTTATTTATTTGTATGGGTGTGAGACTGCATGGATTTATGTGCAATACGTGGATGCAAA